ATTGCGAAATTCTTCGACATTCTTCAGCATTTTAACGATTAGATTATGCTAAGAACATGAATTTTGTAAGAAGTAAAATTTGCATTCTGCACGTCGCTCGAATATTCTCATTGATTAACATTCACTATCATTTCTTTCTAATTTGAAAGTATTTAGCAAAATACAGGTTGTTTAATTATAGGTAGTACTCACTATACATTTATAATTAAAAGAATTTTTGTATTTTTATTAAATTCCTAATTAAAATTCTATATTGAAATTTACTTGCAATTTTCAACGAAAAGAAAAATTTTATTCTCTATCTCCAAAATTAAATTCATTAAGAATTATCTTTCTCTTTTCCTCTCAAACTTTAGCTTTTCTAAAGTCATTTATGGCTTTAGAATTAATCTAATCGGCGCCTTGATCTTTTGGCTAAGACTATATTTACATTACATTCAAGGACTCTATGTGTTTAAAATATTACAGTGGTTTTTTGTGATATCTCGCTTATCATGGAGATGTAACTCATTTGTTTTATGCTCACGCCTTAACTTGCGATAACGCGTCGTAAACCGAGGTCATTGTCTACACATGGTGCGGAAGAGTCGCTCCTGACGTTATAAATCTCCACCTTCGTTTACCCAGACGCCGGCGGATGGCGTGTGAAAAAAAACACCGGGTGCATTGTCCCCGTTGCAACCCCTTGGCATAATTCGCTGCGGTGCATCGCGACGGACGATTTTCATCGTGTTTTCCAGCGATTCGGGATGTCACGACGGTTTCCGATGTATCGGAAATCGATCGCAAATAATTAAGCCTCGACAGCCGCTTTGGTCGATTTCTGTTTCCTAACGACTAACCCATCAGGATGCTGATAATAGGTGAAGATAGGTCGGCGACGGTGCCCCTGGGGCCGTTCTGATTACACCATTACCTACTTGCGCTATTACTAATCGTCTGCCTGTGCATGTACGTGTGCGTGTGTGTGTGTGTGTGAATACACGTACGCGTAATCGGTTTATCATAATTAACATCTCGCGGAAGCCGCGAGCGAACGAACGGAAAATTTCCAAGCTAATGGCTGTGAAATTCGTTCTAATCCTCGGCAATTTGGGAAATTGTGCGTTCCCGGTATCGAGCTTTCAACAAACTTTGGTCGCATTCTACATATTATTCAATTACGGTCTGTCATTTTTTTGATAGATTTGTCATTCATTTAACTTCTTAACGATTTTCAACTAAAGAAGTCGAAAAATTTCCCTCTTTTTAGCTTTTTTTAAGGAAGATATTAAAAATAAGCATTAATGCTCTAATGTTTAAATTCTTACGAGAAATTAGGAGATTGTTCAGATAACAATTATAATTAAATTTATTATAACTCTGTCTACATTAATTGTGAATTACGCATATTTGATTACACTATAATGAACATTATAATTAATTATAAAACTGATAATTTAAATGAAAAATTATTTCATTATCATTTCTCTATTAATCTATCTTTATTATTATTCCATTATCTTCAAATAATATTTGAACGCATTATTAGTATTATCGATTGCACATGAGTAAAAGTCGCAATAATCAAGATTAACATAGCAGATGTTCATATCAATTTATAAAAATGAAAACAAGCAGATGATTCCTTTATATAATGTACTGTTTTATGTCATATCGTTAAAACAAATTATTTGAATGAGAATTATTTTTTACAAATATTTCAACGTTAAACTAAAATAGTATTTAGAAATATACATGGTGTCCCCGGGTTAAATCGCCAAACTTAAAATATAAATTCAGGAAAACAAACAAAAATTTTCCTTTGGACGTATGCTCGCTAACGCTTCTTTCAACAGGTATTTATGAAGTTACAGAACTGTATGAATGAATAATTGAAATATCTTGTGTTTTTGTTTTGAAGCTCGAAGGTCATTGATAGGCTTTTGTTCGCAAAGCTCGCAGTTCGTAGCTCGTAGTTATTTATGTCCAGAGGAAAATTTTTGTTTGTTTTCAGGTCCTGAATTTATATTTTAAGTTTGGCGGTTTAACCCGGGAACACTCTGTATGTGATCTAAAAAAATATTTTTTTAACGTTTCAACATATACAAAAAATCGATGGTAATTAAAAGGCCATGTCTGCATTTAGTTTTAAAAAGAATTCACGTGTTGATCTGAGAGCCTAAATGACATTTCTCCTCGTTCCGCTTCTGATTTCCATGAAACATTCGCCTTGTAATGGGACTCTTTGCAACCGTAATTCGTATGCATTTGCAGTAACGTGAGGTTCAACGTGTCGCTTACGTGCGCCTCTGTATCCGAAACTCTCTGTGTAGCACACGTCTTGTCCGCAGAAACGACGGACATATAAACGCCACCACACGCGGGCGTGAAGTCTCGCTGGGTGTATCGCCAGCGCGCGGACACGCTTTCTGTTTTTACTTCGCCTTTGGAACGGGCTCTGTTACGCCGCTCGGCCGAATAATAATTGCGTCGACTTTCCATTTTCAATGAGAATGCGACGTTCACCCGTTTGTCAATAGTACAGGAAAGAAGAAATTAGCGAGGAAATTCTCGAGAATTCCTCTCGCCTTACTTTTCCCCATTCTTCCCTTTCTCTATTTACGCATTTACGCGCAACGTACGTACAACCTGCAATTAATATTACATTTATAGTTTCACGTTTATGCTTATTTTTCTCTTTATTTTAAATTCTTCTGTAACTGTGTATAAATTGCAAAATTTTATCTGCTTTTGTGGTGTTACGATTCGTCACCGGTATCGATTACTCCAATCGTAATACTTGATACTTTTCTTCATATACTAATTCTCGTCGATTTTACACGCTTCAGCCTTGCGAGGTATATTCTGAGAGCTTCGTTCCGGAGCCTACAATAGATTTCTGTTCTATTTTACTCCATTATCTTCCTGCCTATCTTCGTTCCTCCCTTTCGCGTTCCGCGCGTCGTTCCGTTCCCCGTTTTCCCTCGTACGTCAGTTAGCAACCAGCAATACGCCGCCCGAGCGATCACTTATCGATCGTACATGTCGAATCGCTGTTTAGACTTATCAGCGAATCAATTGACCGGTTCTGAGAACGCGGACGTGGCCAACGCGCGTTAAACGTCACGCTCCTAGGAGCGCCGATAAATTGGACCTCGTGTAGCAAATATCGAGGATACAATGAAGGTCGATAACGTTTGAATATGAATTGCATTTCGATCCCCCGGTGAACCGAGGAGGAAACGTTCGCGCTATCGCGATTTCAACCGTGCGCGAGTGGTGTTGTTTCGCGCGAAGATAAAGCGAGAAGAATCGAAGAGTCAACGCACCGGAACTGAAAGCGTTAAATCTAATTCGATAGTGGCGTTTAGCAACGGTAGAAGAACAGAGATTGCCCGTTGCCGTGCTGCAAACGTATTTTTCGTCATTCGATTAAATCCGTCGGAGCTCTCGCGCGCACGGACGCGCGGTCCCGCGGGGTCCGGGATGCGCGGACGGGATCGAGGGAGGCTTAGAAACTTTCGAACATGGCGCGACGAGACCGCATGATTGCAGGCGCGCAGGTAGAACCACCTCGGCGCATCGTACAAGGTGGGAGGGATGCAACCGAGTCGTGCGCACGTATACACGCGCGCGTGCACGTGTCGTGTGTGCACGCGCACACACGTACGCGCGAGAGAGCAACTCTCTGTCAGTCACGGTGCGCCAGCGTCGGTGGGCCCCGATTCCTCGGTCCCTCCTCTTCGGCTCGACGTGTATTCACGTACACACGTGCGTACACACTCGCGTTGCACCGCCTACGCCTCTCTCTCTCTTTCGCGTCGTCCACAATATATATAGATATATATATATACATATGTATATGCACGCGATATCCAGCGTGAAGCAGATACATGTCTCGAATGGCGTTTCCGTCGCCGTTGTCTCGCCAATCCGTGTATCTTTTCGGGAAGCAGCGACTGCGAAATTCCATTTATAAATGGATAAATTATGGATAAAAGAAGATGAGCGGGAGTTCTTATTACTTTATTTATTATTAATATTTATATTCCCGCGGTGTTTGTAATTATTTCTGTGTATCTTTTTCCGTTATTACATTTCTAAAAGCGTTTCTGTGAGATTCGAAAAGGGCCCGTGAACGACGAACTTGCCGACCTGACGACCCGGCGTCCAACAGACGCGTACGGCATCGTGTAGGGGGAAGTATTAGGTATACCTGGTTGTGTATACCGCGCGTGTATTCACGAGAGACCGGTCTAGTCACGGATAGGAAAAGAGATGAAGATACAGGCTTGTGGGCAGATGGAGCAAGAGGGTAGGAAGGAGCACTAAGATAAAGAAACGATTAAGCCCGTTTTACACTTCACGTTAGAGGTCGAAATCATCAACGAAAGGTTCATTCAACAAAAATTTTAATTTCAAAATTTATTCTATTCCGTATCCGGATTAATCCAGATCTCGATTAGCGATTCGTCGTCGTTTCACTGTTTCTGCAGCTTACTGCTTGTAATACGAACGAGGAGGAAAGTATAGGAAGAAGATTCACACATTTAGAGACGATTGCTGCTTCTCCATCCAACGGGGAACAAGATTTCTCTTTTTCATATTCGCATATCTTAAATGTACCACGCAATTGCAAGCGAAGATTCTCGATCGATACACCTGTTTTTCGAATGTTCGTACGATTCCGCTTTTGGTATTCATATATGTGCGAGATTTGTTTACTCGTGGACTATAACCGACTCCGGGACTCAATTTTGAATCGAGCTCCAACGCGCGCGACGTAACAGGGCCTTTACGGCAGCCCCGTGCGAGACGTGAGCGAGGGGGTGAGCGGGGGCTGTGTTGTAGCGGTCGGGCAGGTAGTAGTAGTGGCGATAGTGGTGGTGGTGGTGGTAAATTATGGTCGCGCGCGGGTGTGCGTGTGTCGTGGAGCGGGGCAGCCAGCGCAAGAAAGCGGTGGGGGAATTAGCGGCAGTCTTCTACGAGCGACGCGGCGCGAGTTGTGCCGCGGTCGGTTCGCGGTGACGAGGTGGTGGAGAGAAAGAGAGAGAGAGAGAGGCACGCGGTGCGGCGAGGTGGTGTACGTTAGCGGCATCGAGAGAAGCGGCGCTCGGCCGCGCGGAGTCTATCGCGAGCCCTCGAGGAGCGAACCGAGCGAGCGATTCCGGGGCTTCCGTGATCTCGTCGAGATCACCGCGTCTCTCCGTCGTTATTGTACGTGCGAGTGGACGCGTGTGCGCGCGAGAGCGCGCGCGTGTGGCCGCGTATGTGAGCCCTGAGTGGAGTACGCGAGGAAACGTGCCCTTCGCGAGAGAAAGAGAGAAAGAGAGAAAGAGAGAGAGAAAGAGTTGCGCAACCGGCGCTCCCCGGCGTCTTGGTGCCCCTCAGAATGGGTTAAAAGCGTGTTTTCGCGAGTGTGATTTCGATTTCAGCCAGCTTATATATCAGTGACGTGATATGATTTCGTGACTGTTCCTCTTCGTGTACAAGTGAAATTCCACGACGACCTGTTCGTCCTTCGTTCTCGTCGTAAGGGGCAGAACGACGCAGCCGGCTGCGAGCGAACGACCGTATCGTAACCGCCGTTGTCCGAAGTCGTCGGCATTCCGGAGTCGTCTGCTCGCTCGTTCAGGGCGAATGAACTGCGCACGGCGATGATAGTTCTCCGCAGCGCGCGGCGATGCGCAAGTAATGAGGGAGCTGCGTGATCGACCGAGCACGACCAGCGGTGCGGTGATAGAGGGAAAAAGAGAGGAGATAGAGTGAGAGAGAAAGAAAGAGAAATCATATATATATATATCTAACCTCGACCTCCAAGTGTCGGGTTGTTGTGTAGTAGCGTGCGGCATACAACGACGTCGTGGTCACGCCACGCCGTTATAGACGGGGGTATTCGACGGAGTGCGGGACGTGTGTCGCAGTAACGAGAGCCTTTGCGATGAAGGGAGTCTAGTGTTACCGTGTAAGGCTGCAACCCCCCTGGAAACGGAGTACCTTGTAACGTACCAAATAGCAAAACCTATTAGCCGACAGTGCAATAATCCCCTCTCGATTCGATTCCGCTTAACGGAATTCTGTTCTAAGGAAGCTTAACCTCGTGATAGGAAGATCCTGGATTAATTGGAGAGAACCGTCGGAGACTTCCGTGGAAGTCCAACCAAGTCGCAGGCTCAACAAGTGGACCGCCGTCTCGTAGTCGATTCCGCTAAAACCGCTTCTGCTGGATTATCCCGAAAACGGAATTTTAGATGTCACCGCGATCGTGATCACGGGGGTCCGGAAACCTACCGCCGCTCTTCCGGGTTTTCGGAGTTTCTCCGGATCGATTTCGGAGCACTGGAGTGCGTAAAACGCGCAACAAGTTGAAGGGAGAGAGCACGTGGCGAGCGCAGCGCGCTCCGATTCAATTAAAGTGTCTGTCCTTACGTAAGACCCGGTGACGCACACCACGGCGATAACATTTGCTCGTTGCTTGATAAGGGATTCGAGATTCCGCGAACGAGCAGACAATAGGTCGCGAGAGGGCGATCAGTCGACGGATTGCGGTTCAACGTAACGCGACGCGAGCGTGCCTTACCGCAAGAATTATCGAAAAGCTCGAATGCTTGGAACTCGGATGTCAATCGCGTTTTGGACGCCGATTCTGTAAACCGCGAACTCGCAGGTCCGAGTTCCGCGGTCCGGGAGAATTTCCGACTCAAGATTCTCTTCGAGGTTCCATAACATCGTGAATAGGCAACGTGTCATGTAGGCAACCTTACTCAAGGTGTCGATGCGAGAGTATTCTTAAAGACTCCTCGTCGAAGGCAAGAGAAGCGGGGGAATCCGGGAATTCCCCTCCCCCTCCGGAAGAGAGGGCTTTAATTATTAGTGCGGCAGGGCGGCAAGCAGTTTTGAATGACCTTCGTATTCTGCGGCTTCGTCTTCGACTCGTCTGACGAGAAGACGAGACAAATGCCGGTCGCTTCGGAGGACTGGGTGCCCCACCCGGGCGCCAAGATAACCAGTTCCATCACCACCGTCAAGGGTGCCACCATACAGAGCACGACGACGGCCTGGATGTCGCCCTACAGCAGGACGACGCCGCCTGATCGCGGAGGGTCCAACAACAATAATAATAATAACAACAACGGCGTGGTTATTTTGGATGGCTGCAGACCACCGGCGGCCACGACGGCCAGGAGATTCTTCAGGTGGTTCAGCAGATTAGGACAACCACCGATAGGCAAGACAGGTAAAGGAATTAAAGTGGAAAGGATACTCGTGATTATATTCCTTTTCCGTAAAAGGCTATTTGAACCATTCTTTTTTAGAATACTTTAAATTTTTATCACAATAACGATAAAAATTTCCGGATACAGAAACAAATGTTTAAATATCTGAATTTTAAAATAAAGTTGTCATTTATTACAAATTTTTTAAGTCTTTAATTTAAAATGCTTTAATTAAGTGGTTACAATGATATATGAGACTCGTTTGTGTAATCAATTTTTTCGACGATCGATACTATTTAAGTCATAATTTTGCAACGATGTTAACTTTATCTTTAGTTGTTTTAAAGTGAAAATATGAAGTAAAAATGGAATTAATAACTTTGAGGCCTAAAGAATTAAAGATAATAACAAATGTTTTGCCGTTATCAGTGTTAATTAAGTGAACATTGCAGTATTCGAGATATAGAATAAATTGATATCATCAATCTATCGTGATTCTTAAGTATTTTTATTGCGTCGTTACATGCGTAAACGCAATTAAATAATCAAATCAAATTAAATAATTACATTTAAATATTAAATATTATGCAACAAAGAAAGTTGTATCTAATTAGTTTAGTTTCCGGTTTTTTCCTTATTTTTAATTTTTTTAAATGTATTTCTATTTTCGCTGACAAAAATCGTAATTAAGAAAATACAAGAATTTGGTAGGGGATACGATATTAATTCTCTCTTTCTCCTAATTTATTTCTCCATTTAATCTGCCTGTACACACGATAGGTGCCAAATCGCAAGTGTAATTAATAACTTACAACACACTTTATCTTTGACACCTTATCTTCGGAAACTGTTAAACGTGACGTACCGTAATCGACGACGGCATTACACACACTCGGTGGTTAAGATTCGTGACAAACCGGTAGAGCAACTCACGCTCCCGCGATTGTCTCAATTCGCGTAGATCGAGCCTATCCCTCTTTCTCTCTCGTTCTCTTTCCCATCCACGTGTTACTGTTAGTCATCGCAGGTGCATCATACGTGTGCGCGGTAGTTGCCGTTAATAAAAAGAACGTGTTCGCGCGAGGTGAATACGCGCTCGTAGTAGTAATGGGTAATTGAGGAGAAGCGCGAGTATACGCATTTATATATACGTACGTATATCTGCGCGCCGCGAGCGCGGTACGGCGCGCGTTAACGGTTCTTCTCTTACACGGATTTCAGCTTTTCATAATACGCGCGCGCGCGCGGCCGCTCGTCGCTGATGTTGTCCCGTCCATATGGCATCGAACAAAGAAACCGGCAGATCTAAAACGAGTGACAAATGAGTACTTCGGTTGAACAGGTTTCATGTAGCGCGATGTACCAGGTGTTTGAATTATATAAATCTATACCGAGGTTTTTGATAGATCCTACGTGCGTATTTTTTTTCGTCTGGTTGTATAACAGTTGTACGACACGAATCCTCTCCTACCTTTCTTCTGCTAAAGAATTCATTATTATTCATTACCTAAATAACGACACGTTATTTTCCATTACAAATAATCTTCACTTCAATCCTCCATTACAAATATTATCGGTTAGATTTATTTATTATCGAGACGCTCTCGTGTTTCGCGAAGAAGAAAATTGACGTAGATGAACACGTCTAATCTCTTGTATTTTCTCTCTTCGTTACATCCAGTATATTTAGCTTCAAATCTGTCCAAACATTTATGTTCAACACTGTTTTAACTTCGGTCCTGAGAAATTGCATTGAATATAGCATAATTCTCGTGAAATCTAAATCGAATGTCTAACGGCGCATTAACAAGCGTTTCGCGTTTATATGGCTCGTGGGGAATAATAATTGATATCGTATATCTAACGCGCGCCGCGCGTTATTCAGAAGTTCCGCTGGACGGCAAAAGAAATCGCCTAATTAAATTTTATCGACAAAGCGTAAAATTATATGAGGACTCCACCACCGATTCTACTACCGAGGCATTAAAATTCGCACAAAAGCCGTTGCTTTCTCGCGCGGAACTGAGTACACGTATAGCACACGTGCCACATTCGAGACCCGGCATTGATTTTACCGCGCGCTTCGTTGAGCACCTTCGAAAATTAGGGTCGAACTTACAATTACGAATAATTGCTGATATTTAGAAGGCGAAAAAGTTGTTTAAAATTTGTGATTTTGATTTTAAATTTTTCTCTGACTTTTAAATAACATGCTTTAATTTATCCATGAAAAATATATATATTAAATGATATCAGATTTTCTATAACACTTTTAGTGTATTTATTATTCCCAATAATTCTGTCTTGAAATTGAGGTATTCGAAAATGTTAGCAAATAGATTGTTGAATTAACTTTCACGGTTACTTAAACAGCAAAAATCTCCCTGTAATTAACCCTTGAATTTTTGCCTTTCGATGTAAATCTTCCTTCACAAATTAGCGGCTGGAAATCGCCGTTTCAAGTTGATGTTCTCGCTCTGGCGCGTATTTCATAGCTCAAGTGGGTCGTACACGTGACGAAATACAAATCGCGCGATTGCGAGCAGGGTTCGATAAGTTAGCCCACACGTGTCGAGTATGTTACAATCCGGCGAACAAACCAAGCGATTTCGAATGTCGCAATAATAACAGGGTCGATGAACTACATTACCGCATTATAAAACGTAACACAAATTTCCCTATTTGGGAAGTGACACTTTCTCTGTTAGATAACAGTCTGTCAAGCGTCCCATTATATGTATATATTGCAAAACAAAAAACCGTAAATTTATTAAATTTATTAAAAATGAAATTGATATTTGCTTTGTTTAAAAAGTTTAAATATCAAATTTTTATCGATTATTCAGTATAAAAATAATAAATTAATAATCACAAATATATGATTCTATTAAAAGATACATGATTTCAGAAAAAAAAAAATGTATAAATGACAAATCTTATAAGACACAAAGATTTCTAGATGACGTTGAAAATCAAACGTGATATAATCGTAATGGCAGATTATGTATACGTTGGTTTAAACAAAATGTAAATCTAATTTTTTATAATACATATTATGTGCAAAATATGACATACTATTTATATTTCTTATAATCCGAGTGCAAGTTCTTACGCCACGATATTCCCGAGATTGACGTTCTCTCGCGACGTACAGACGTGAACGGCAGAGCGCGATAACTGGGCCGGAAAGAGGATGAACCGTGAACTCGATAAATAAACATTAAACTTGACTGTAAAACCAGGCCGCGCCGCCGTCGGCATTCACAATAATAATCGACATTCTGTCCTTTTCGCGCGAAAAGAGACGCACGTCGGTATGCTGTCGTGTCGCGTAGCACCGTGATGCTGAAGTGAGTAGGTGGGCGAGCCTTCCTCGAGGAGATCGGAACAGGATTGTGTTCTACTGGATGGAATTGTAGGATCTTCACGCTAGCCGACGCCCGCGACGGGGATTGCTATGCGTTAAAAGTAGGCTGCGGTCAGACGTGCTGTACGGAACGATTCTTTGGCTTCGACGCAAACGAGTGTACAGAATGGTCTGAACCAGCTGAAATATTGTTTTGCAGATCTGCCAGAGAAAAAGTCTCTGATCTGTGAATAATATGATTTTGATTTTGTTAAATTATTTTTAAAGCGATTTTGTCTTGATAGAAATCAAGTTGTTTTTATCGTTAAGAAATTTCTCATGTGAGAAAAGTTAATTATTATACAAAATTGCTTTTGATATAAAGAATAAAGAATACATTTTTCACGCTATGTAATTTCCGAAAGAAAGACGTTATTATTTTGAAATTTAATTTTTCAATATACTTATCGAATTAATTCATTATGCGATCATACTATACTTATTATTCCGCTTTATTATATATATCATATCTTATAATTTATAGATTTTAGGTGCATGAAGAAAAATTTTGCGACACACATAATTTGTAAAATTGAACAAATTATCAGCATCATTTTATTATAATATATATATATGTGTCTGACGGCTAATATCTGGTTAAATATTTTTATCTTCGCGCGACATTGACAATATTGTGAAAACTCGTATTTTCGGATATAGGCGGTGACTGTTAGATCGGACGGAAACGGCTGGCTAGGTAATTAAAGCGCGTTCCATGTTCGACTCGCAGGTCGACCGCACATTGTCACCTGTCGGCTGCCATTCGCACCTGTCGACCGACCATCGGTCTGACTGACCTCTTGCCGTTGAAACGGGCCATTGGATTGCATCTTGGAATTATTCATCGCATTCTTGTCATATAGTGTCTGCAATCCAAATTGGTACGATAGTTAATCCTCAGATGTGAATTTCACTACGCAGAGGTGGATTTTAATTGACATTACGACAGATTTCCATTAAAAAGATCAATACGTTCAGAAATTAAATATAACGATAAGTAATTGAAGACACATTCGTCGAAAATGTGAAAAATTCTTTATAACTTGCAATGTTAAATAATAAAAATTCTTTATAATTTATAATGTTAAATATTTTCCACTGCATGCATCATGGTAACTCTGTTAACGTAGAAATTATTTTAAATTAATTCAAAATATATTTTGTTATTTATTATTCTCTGGAAATCTGAAATAAAACTATCAAATTTTAGTATAAAATAATTCTAAAATAAATGCATTGGAAAAAGAATCTGGTTACATTAACTGGAAATTTGATTCAACCAGTACGTCCGAAAATCGACGAATCAAAATTCTTGTAGCATTGCCAGACAAGTATGATTAATTCTTTCCTGTTAAATCTACCAGAATTTCTTGTTGATCGAATCATCTTTCTTCTTAAATAGTATTCCAGAATTTTTTGATGATCAAACAATTCTTTCCTGCTAAATATATACCAGAATTTTTTATTAATTCTGTAGTTGAGGGAGTCTCTTATATTAATATATTTTAGCACATATTAACTTCCAAGAATCAAGTTCTTGAATTAATTTTGGTACAGAACTAAAAACTGCACTATAAAAATATATCCTTCTAGTTACTTTTATCTTTGACAATC